TGTTTCTATTGGTTGTGTGCTATGGTTTGAGGACAAAAGATGCTCTTGGATACATAAATAGGGAGCACATGCCTGCCTGAGGACAACTCACACACTTGCAGGAGAATTTTACTCTTTATTGAGCAACTTGAGTCTGACCCTAGGCTGCCTTTGACAGAAAACATTATCAATAATAGGAAGAATTGAGTGGTAAATAACTAACCCAACACTTGCTGGTGGCATGTCCTTGAAGTTCAAGAGCTGCAGGAAAGACTATGAACACTGTCCTGAGTCAATCACAGTCCCCATAGGTTCCATGGGCCTCCTACCATATATACCCCATTGATCCTTTCACCTTGGTTGACTTTGAAATCCTGAAATTCCTCCATCCATTTCCTAAGTATTATGGTTACAGGCCTGTACTACTCTGCCTTAGTTGGCATCAACTTCATCTAGCGAGTCATTAGAATGTTGGGATGACTAAGATGAGTAGGTACACTTAAGTATATTCAAAAATCACTTATCTCTGTGTGTCTGACTTTCACCATCTATAAAATAAGAAAGTCCTCTACCCTAGTCCCTTGATGAATTATAGTAGAGTCAAAGATAAAGAAACAATATTGTTCATAGTCTGAAGTCAGTGAACTTTATAAAATGAGGCAATTCTCTGGCATATAATTGTGGTCCTGAGCAAGTGTTATAATTGTTTAGTACCCAGAATGAACAAATAAAAGAATGTATGATAGTGTACTTATTTTGCACTACAAAGAGAATTTGTTATTCAAATTATCCCATGTTCCTCTACTCTTTGTATGAAATTAGGCTTACAGTCTGAAAGGAAGATAATAGTTTACTGTTGTAGTATTTCTTCTAATCATATTTGAGCACCAATGAGACAGCTCAGTGAGAAAGGTCTGTGGTGTACAAGGCTAGAAACCTGACCTCAGTCCCCTTAGAAGATCAAGCTATGGTAGGAGATACAGACTTGTTTGCCAACTGTCCTTATTTATTACATATCTACCAGATAAATGAAAATGCGTCTTTAAATACACACATGAGTATTTACTGTTTCTTATAATTACTTCTATTAAGCATTTTAATATTAACATTTTTAAATTGTGTTGACAAAACAGGACACATTCGGAGTGCATCACCCACTCTTGCACTTGTACTCAGGAGGGGTACACAGGAGCATCATGAGTTCTAATGTATCCCTGAATCATTACTGACATCCAAGTCAGGATGAATAACAAACAACAAAATCTCATGGAAAACTGTGAAAATTGAAAAACAAAACCAAGGACAGCAACTTACCTCCTTTTCACAGACACCCTTACTTGAAAAGTATGATCACACACTGTCTGATCTTTAAATACCAATAGAACACTTAGATGATGGGGATACCATTCTACACATTACAGCTGAGAAATACCTATCACTGGGTAAAAGCACAATAGAAGATAAACAAAGGCCACAGAAGGAAATAACGACCACAAAATAAACTTCACTAAATGGATGTGCCACACATATAGCACACTTTAGTATCTACCTCAAATGTTTCAAAATAGAAACCATAATTCAATGTTCTCCAACATCAGTCTTGAGTGAATGTGGCAAGTAATTTACTTCCTTCAAGGCTATGATGAAAAATAATTTTGTACTTTGAATCTGAACACAACTATGATGTCTAAAGTCTTTAGCAAATTGTTTATGTAAATAGGGTTTTTCTCTGTATGAATTTGTCCCTATTTAGAGACCTCAAAATTATATAAATAACCTAGAAAATATTTACAATGCTAGAGATGGGGCTGTGGGTTAAGAAATGCTCATTCCCAGGACCAAGGTCACATTTCTAACAACTTCCTGTAATTCCTGTTACAAGAAGATCCAAGGAACCAATGTTCTCACAAAATATAGAATGCACACTCACATACCCACACAAACACAAACTGACATCACATAGCTACAACTAAAACAACCCTTTAAACAATTTTTCACTCATGAACATTTTTCTCTTGTAAGAATTCATTCCTGTTAACACAGGAGTTGAGACATCTAACTGCTTACTTAGAGAGTTTTTCTTCACCATGAATTCGGTCCCGTAAACAGAAAGCAAACACTTAGGCTTGAAGTCGGACAAATTAATCCTCCTAGGTAGGTAGTATCGCCAGATTTAGGAAATGCCGCTCTGCTAGACAAAATATGTCACTGGGGGTAAGCTCTGAGAATTTACATCCACACACCATTTGCAGTTCCCACTCGCTGCTTCATGCTGCAATCTAAGGACGTGAGTTTTTAAGCTCCTGCTTTAGCTGCTATGTCTGACACTTGTTGCTATGCCACTTTCATGGTCATCCTACATCCCTCTGCAACAAGGGCCAAAATAAATGCATTTATAAGTACACAGAGACATTATATCACAACAGAAAAGGAACAAGTACACATCCAAAAGTTACCACCTAAATTTGTTATTTCAAACAATTGAAGAGAAGCATAAAATCTAAAAGGGTTACATTATCATTTAAATTCATAGGGCAAGTGTTACAGCTCTGGAAGGAAAGGTACGCTGACTATCTTGTATCAGGCTATACCTACACCTATGAAGGAAAGGTATCCCGGGATCCCTATACCTGTGAGTAGAAAGGAATCCAGTCTGTCAGGAAGTCAGACTATATCTGAAGTTGTGTTACAGTGGGGAATGATCTCCCTGCTGGATATAACAGTCCTGTTGCTCTCTAAGAGTGATCCCTTTATCCTACATACATATAAGGCTTCATAAAATTTATAAAACTCAGTTTTGTCCATGACTTTGCTTGTGCAATCAATATGAAAACAGACATCATAATGCTTGAACAGATTGTTGACACTGTCATTTTTTTTCTACACAATAGTGTTGGTTATCTGATTGTAAGTGTGTTGGTAAAGATTTTACCAAATAATTTATAAGAAGAAGACTTTAGCTTCTTTTTCAGGTACTCAATGATTATTGCAATATGCCAAGGTTTTATCAGATTGATTGTACACAGAAAGTTTTACTCCTGTATAAAGTGCAAAACATTACCACATTAACAATATTTATAGTCTCACTGCAGCATGACTTTTCTGATGTTTTTGAAGACTACACTGATTAAATTCATAGGGTTTCTCTCTAGTATGGGTTCTCCTATGCATTCAGAGATAATTGTGACATCCAAAGGCTTTACCACACTAATTCCATTCTAGGGTTTCTCTCCAGTGTATTCTTTTTTGCCTTTGAAGATGACTGTGACATGCAAAGACCTTACCACACTGATAACATTCATAGGGTTTCTCTCCAGTATGTATTCTTTTATGCCCTTGAACAAGACTGTAACGTGCAAAGGCTTTACCACATTGATTACATTCATAGGGTTTCTTTCCAATACATGTTCTTTCATTTCTTTGAAGGTGTCTGCCATATGCAAAGGCTTTAATACATTGAGTATATACAGAAAGTTTCTCTCCAGTTTCATTTCTTTCATGCCTGCAACGATAACTGGCACATATAAAAGCTTTACCATATTCAATACACTGCAGAATCTTCATATCTATGTGAAGTTTACTATTTTCTCAATTATAAAGAGGAATCAGATATTAAGGGTTTATTGCTGTGTTTAGACTCATGTTGTGCCCTTTAATTAAGTGTCATTTTGCATCTTTGAAGACACCTGTGATGGTAAACTCCATTATTTCATGGTTCACTTTACAGAAACTTTTATTCTATGATGTTTTTCACATATTTAAAGGGAACTGGATAAAGTCTGAACTTTATGACCTTTACTGCATTCAAAAATTTTTCTATACTGTGAATGATACTACATTTGCTAAATGAATGAGAGCTACTAGAGTATTTACACAGTCCTAGAACTCATAAGGTTTTTCTGTAGTGTGAGTTTGTTGGTATATTAACAGTGATGGTGGAAAACCAATTACTTGCATACTTGAATCAAATTCGGCAAATATACTCAACATGGGGACTACATATCTTCTAACTGTTCTGAGAGAGAGGCATGTCACATTTTTTCCATATCCCTATGCTCATATGCTTCTATCAAGAGCAACATATGGTATACATAGGAAAAGAAGAACAACAAATAAAAGATTTCCCCATTGAATTCTCACAAATTGACTTTCTATTCCTCATAGACTTTTGGTATAGGAATTGAGGGTTATCCACAACTGTCCCTTGACTCTTGATTCGAACTGCTCCTCTCACTAAAATTAGCATAGAAACAAGTATATGGGTAATACAAGCTTTACTATGGACTATTGGCTATTAGAAGGTTAGGGAGTAATACTTATCACCTCTTCAGTAATATGAGTAACATGAAATAAATGGATTGGCAAGTCTACATCATAGTTCTCACGGTACTACGGTTCAAAAGGTGTTATTTGTTAAGGCGGTGTTTCCTTGTTCTCTTTCTTAAAAGAATGCCTTTGAAATGCAATTCACCTATCTGAAATTGAGATCTACTGTTTTGGGAGAATGTAACAATCATCAATGCACTTTAAGCTGTGCTAATTTATGCTGCTGCTTTTGTTTAAAACCTGCAGGACACATTATAATATCATCAGAGGCATATTTGTCGCAACATGCACATGAAAATTACCTGTCATATCTTCTAGAACTTTGACAATGTTCTTCAATATTATGGTCTTCCCAATTGTATCCTAAAATATAGTACCAGAAAATGCATATTATTGAACATTCTGCAAAATTTAAGTTACTATCTCTATTGAACCTTAGAACCATGGCTGACTTATTCATCTCCTTCTTCTTTCTCAATCAAATTACAAAAGAGTATCAATAACCAAGGAACAGTTGTCCCTTTTTTATAAACATGAAGGAAAATTCATGTTTTCCTATAGTAGTGAGGTTCTTATAGGTCTCCAGCATCACATCTTTGTACAGATTCTTCTGGGAAGGATCCAGCAAATTCCACTTTTCCAAAGTGAAGTTGATATGTATATCATCATAGGTCACTGCATTCTAAAATATCCCATACATGTGTACATCAGAAAGCATGGTACTGACAATATTGTAGATGTATACTTCTTTGCAGTACAGTCACATAATTCTGGTGTTCTCCACTCTCATTCCACGACATAGGTATTATAGTGAATCATCAAGTCACTTTACAAGGAAACTGAATAAGAGGTTCAATGCTGTCATTTCTGTATCCTTTGAACGGGACATCACCCATTCTTGCAAGAGAAATGTCTATTAACAAACAGAGAGAAACAAGTAACCAGATCAACAGTATAGAGTACACATGAGAAAATTCCTATGAAGAATTACTAAAAACCTACAAAAGAGAAAAATAAGATGGACAAATTGGGTGTATTGACTCATGCCTTTAACCACAACACTAAGATATACCTACCTCTGAGTTGAATGCCAGCCAAGTCTGTGCAATCAGGTCCAGGACAGGCAGAAGTACATATTAAGACCCTTCACTGCAAAAAATCAGTCAAACAAATAAAAAAGAGAAAGAATTCAAAGGTTTTTACTGAAGTTCCTACAAAGAGGTATGCGTTTATTCCAGTTCTGTATTCACCTTCCGGAAACCTGAATTGTCCTAATTTAAACTGTAACAGCAATAAAATTCGACAAAAAGGCACTTCATGTTTAAGCAGTTACAAATGGACAGATGAAAACACTAGCAATATAAATATTTGTCATAAATATTACATACAGAGCTGGGAAGATAGCTCAGTAGTGATGAGTTCTTGCTGGTCTTGCACATAGGTGGGCACAATTGCCAGGACTTATATGGGGATCACAACTATCCATTATTCCAAGTTCAGGATTTCTGAGATCACTGTGAGGATCAGGTACCCACGTGGTGCATATACATACAGGCAGTTAAAATAGTCATATTGATTGAAAAAAATCAAACAAACACAACAAGCAGGAGAAGTTCATGTACCTGTATTCCAATGACTCAGAATATTCAAACAGTATTAATGTCATAAATACTTGCCATCCTGAGAATCAGAATGATACCCTCTGCTCAATTTTAAAATCCAAGATGTTCGTGAAGCTCAGCAAAGCAGCACACGCTTGACATGTGAAAAACCTATATTCCTGGGTCCTCACCCAATGATATAAAACAAATAAGACCAAACAAATGTTTATCCACCTTTACTTTCAGGACTTTGGAGTCAGATTCAAAGAGACCTCTGAGTATGAGGTCAGTCTGGTATACGAAGCTACAGTCAGGAAAGTCAGGGCTACACAGACAAACCTTGCCTTGAAAAAACAAACAAAAAATTAAAACAGCAAGCTACCAATTGAATAACAACTGTTTGTACTATATTTTATGTGATGTAGAGATAGAGTCTACAATGGTGGGGAAGACATGACAGTATGAGAAGAAAGATAGCTGATTGTTTTCAACCACAACACAGTAAATATGTGCTGTGGGAGCACATTCTGCTCCTTGAGCCAATAGCCTTTAAGATACCAGTCCACTTGGGCATGATCTCTTATACTGTAAAAACAGCTGTAAATATGCACCTGCTCTCTTGCTTCCAGCTCCCACTTCAGGCTGCTAGACTCTGTTCCTGTTTGTGCAGAGGGCTGTTTTCCCCTTAAATAAATAACCCTTTTATTATTCATAATTCTGAATTAGGGTGGAATTGTTTGTGACTTATGCCATCATCTAGCACCAGACCATTTGGTTTTAGAACGCCCCCAGCTCTGCTGCACGCCACCAGCTTGGAGTGCACCCAGCTTGGCACAAGACCTCCCTCAGTTGGCCGTGGCCTATGCATGGAGCCAGCAATTCATTTGGATATAGAATTCTCCCAAAGTGATGGCTTTTCTTGCTACAGATCGGCCCTAGTTCTTTATATTTTATCATTACTTGCCTCAGAGCAGCTTCCAATCCCCACGCCCTTGCTCCAGTGTCTGTGAGCTACCACAACACACCACGTGGAAATTCAGACGGGATACAAGCTTTCCTGGGTGCCTGCTGTTATCTTGTTATCCCTGTCCTGCTGTGGCTGCTAACCCATCAGGACCAACCACTGCACACACAGTCTGTGATTTCTATTAAATAACTGATTTTTGATCAAAGCATATCTTTCAGCATTTCACACTAAAATCAGATTAAGACTAGTCACATGATTCCAGGTGTGCTGCCAGGTCCAGCTGGGTTTGTTTCATAGGGGGCTCACAACACCTACTGGCACGTAATGGTTATTGCACCTAATCCAGCTAATTAAACCACAAATAAGATTTAATATTCAAAATATAAATCATAAGTTGCTAATTTAAAAGGGCAATATGTCAGACAACCTAACCATCCAAGGTTTCAATAGCCTCTTTACTTATATCATGTGCAAGGTTTTACAAGACTTATGTGATGTCCCTTCTACATCACTATTTTTTGATTCTAGAGATTAGTCTTGTCCGCAATATTTTTTCTTAAAAATATGGTTTGACAACAGGGCTAATAATGAGGCATTTTTAGAAATGGTACAGTCTTTACAGACTGATACAAGGATTCTCAAAAAAGAGGTTGGAAATCTGAAGAAGGATACAACGAATTTAACTAACAAAACTCAGTCAACTGAGGTAGTTTTAGAAATGGTACAGACTGATATTAACTTATTTAGAGAAGATTCACCACTCCGGAAAAGGATACAGCCGATTTGGCTCATAAAACATAAACCCAATCAATGACAGTGATTGCTGAAACATTATTTGAGAGAATTTGCACTGTTGAATGTATTAATCAGACTCTGTCAGAGGGGTATGACAGATTGACTGATAGAATGTCTCTCTAGGAAGGTAATATTCATGCTATAAAGATTATGTCCAAGGATGAAACATTATCTGTACTGAACAGACTTCTTAACTTTGAATCCTCAATGAGAACATTAGAGCAGAACACTGGACAGGAGATCCAGACATTACAAAAGGCAGTGGTAAACAGATTTGAAAAAAATTGAGAAAAATTATCAAATTTGATGACCAGGAACAAAAGGTAAAAAGGCAAAATTTAACCTCGTTGGTACCTAAAAATCTCTGGGATAGCTTCCCCAGAGTTCTGCCTGCCTTTCCAGTAATAATATCAGAAAAAGCATTTGGCCCCAAGAACCATAGTGTTGTCAAAGACTATTCATGGGAGACCATATGTGTGACTGATCTAAAGGAAATTAAACAAGCAATTGCAACTTAAGAACTACATTTGTCCTTTTTTGGGGGAAATGGTCAAAACGTGGTCTTTCAGTACCAAAGCAACACCTCAAGATTGACTCAGTTAATCTCAGCAGTCCTAGAAAGTGGACAGAAATTATTTTGGAGGTGCTTTTTTAAAGAGGAGGCAAGAATTTTAGAGCATCAAAAAGCAAAAGGACTTGATATTTCCCTCGATCAAATTCTAGGTGGAGAACTTTACTCTGATCCTCAGGATCAAGCTCTTTATGATGACCACGCTTGTCCCTATGAAGCACAAAAGCTTTAGAGGGTAGGGACAGGATTCAGGAATCAGAAAAGAGAGTTGAATCATATCTTAGGGTTAAACAGGGTCAGAGAGAACCTTTTAGTGGCTTTTAGCAAAGACTCGCTAGGTCTGTACAAATAGGGGTAACCGACCCAAAAGCTAGACATATAATTGAATCTTTGGCTTATGAGAATGCCAACACAGAATTCAAAAGGTTCCTTGGGCCTTTAGAGATCAGATCAGCACTCATAGATAAATGGGGTCTTACATACATGAATGTCAAGACACTTGACTATGGTCCTGAAGTTTGGGTAGGAAAAGCAATTTCCAAAGGTAAGGGAAGACATCAAAATACCAAATGTATTAATTGTGGTAGAATGGGACATCTGAGAAGGGATTCTTAGACAACATATTCTTAGGAATAATGTCTCCTCTGCAAATGGAAGAAAGAGGAGGACTCAACCTTCAGGTATATGTAAGAGGTGTGGCAAAGGCCAACATTGGACCAAAGAATGTAGGTCAATGATGTGGAGGGCCGGACCACATTCTCCATTGCTTCTAGGAACAAAGGTAGAGATTGACCTCTGTGACCCCAAGGTGTGGTGGCACACGCCTTTAATCCCAGCGCACGTGCTTTGTAACTCTCTACCGCTGCGTCCCTGCCTATTCCCGAGGTTTTACCTGGGACTGGGAGCAGTTTGACCAATCCGAGAATGACACGTCCGAAGCGGGGTCTGTTTCCTTTATAAGGGATGGGTTCCATCTTATCTGGGTCTCCGCCATGTGGCTTATGCTCTAGCTCCCAAGAGACATAAAGCTTTTCTGCAGAAGGATCCTATGTGTACCGCGTGGTTCTTGCTGGCGAGACGGTAGCGCGGGACATCTGGTGCTGATACCCGGGAAAAAGAAGAACTTTGCACCACCGGAGACCCCTTGGATACAAGGAGGATTCAGAACTGCAGGCATGCGTGCTCAGAGAGGTACGTTCTAAAGTCCAGAGAGCATATCAGAAACTGAGCAGCAGTGGGAGGTTGTGCGCGCACCCAGATAAGTTAAAAAGGACCCCCCGATAAAGAATGGGGGAGACAGAAAAAAAAAATAAGTTAAAAAGGACCTCCCGGTGATTTTGGGAAAATGGAGATGGGGGAGAAGGCTGATTTGCAGGGTCAAAAGCTTTATGTTGTGTTGTTCATGTTGTCTTTTATGTACTGGATGGGAGAGGGATATTTGAACTTGGAGACTGCTGAGGATGTGGTGTTTTGGGAGGGAGGTTCTGTTTTCGTCTCCACGGAGGAGGAGAGCCTAAGGGTGTACTTGGGATTTACGTGGTTTGAATCACCGAGACCTCCTGAAATGTTGTAATGTTGTAATGTATACCCCTAAAATTCAGCGGCTCAATAACAGCAGGAAGCAGCCAAAGAGACTAAACGACGCCTGCTTCTCTGAGTTCAGCTTTGCTCCGTGCACCGGTTTGGGCTCGGAATGGGTGCAGCTGGGGCTGGAGGGCGGCTGGAGCGGAGCTTTGCTCTATGGCTATGGTGGGGAGCACGTTGCGCCGGCTCAATTGGTGCGGCTCGGTTGGTGCCACAGGCAGCCGGGCCAGAAGGCTTACAATGTACCTAAAACTGTGAGGGTCTCTGAGGGTAAAATGGCTCTGATTCCATTTGGCTATGCTAAACGATGCTAACTTCAGGCAGGGCTGGTCGTATTTATCATAATAAAAGCGCAATTAAGGTTTAAATGCAATAAAT